TTACGTATTGTGATTTGGGGTTTTAGCTGTATCAATGAAGGCAGAATTTGTATTTCTTATCCTCCTTGTTTTTCTGAGATCATTCACAAGAGGAAGAAAGCGCCCTTTTTACTCCATCTTTTAAAAATCTGAAGTTAGTAACTGACTATCCATCATTTGATAGCAAGGTCAGTAGGAGAAAACAGCTCCACCATCAGCTGATTCATTGCTCTATAGCTAAGCTTGAGAACATCACTGATCACTAGCACCATCAGGTAGATCTTAAACTTCAGATTCCTAGGTTAACTACCCGGGAAATTCTGATTCTGTAGGTCTGAAATGGGACATGAAAGTAGATATTAAAAGAGGGAATTAAAGATAAATAAGAAATATCTTCAGCCTTCAAGAAGTGAACAAGGGGAGCAAATCACATATACAAACAACCATACGTAAAGACAACTGTGAAATGTGCTGACATCTTGAAGGAGAAAAAGATGACAATCAGGAAAGAGTCACAACAAAGAATAAATCATTTGCATGACAGAGACATTATGCTGTACACCAGAAACTGACATGTTATAACTGACTATACTTCAATTAAAAAAAAAAAGAAAAGAAGAAAGTATTTGATAACCTTCAGTCATTCCTTACATAAGCCATCAAGTACCTTCATGCTAGATACTATAGACACCTACTGATGAAAGCCAGAAAGCTGGATTCCTTTATCTTCTCCACCTTCTACGATCACAACTGAGTCAGTCTTGTCGATTTGTGCTTCTGAATATCTCTTTAGAGCTTAATTAATCCTTTCCTATCATTCCATATTGCCTCCTTACTTCTTGCCTACACCACTGCAGTAAACTTAAGTGGCTTCCTTGCTCTAGATGTACCCCACAGCAACCCATTCTCTACACTGCCCCCAGAGTACTAGTTCAAAAATGCAAACATAATCACATTTGTTCTCAGGTTGAACCACATCAGCAGCTCCCTATCATTCACGGGCAACAAAGACTGAACTTTCTTTGCCATGTGTGCAAGACACTCCACAACGTGTCTAGTTCTCTTCACTAGTCTCATTTCTACTCCTTCACACTGTGTACTCGCTACTCCTGCCAAACTGGAACCACCTGCAATTCCAAGAGTGCTCTGCCCTTACATGTCTGTCCTTCAATGCCTTTCCTTCTGCTTTGACTTTTCTCTTCAACTCCTCCCCTCTCTAAAGAGTTCTGCTTGTTGTATTTCCAGTCATCCTTTAAGATGGCACTCAAAAGTTTTCTCCTTTATGAAGGCTGCCTTGATAGTCTCTCCTCAAATGGCAAGTTTATTGTTTTATTCACATAGTATGTATGGGAGTTAACCCAGTGAGTTGTGTTTATTTGCTGACATGTCTAAATTCCCTCTAGTCTGTGACTTATACATCCTTGCAACTTTCTGCACATAGCACAGTGCCTGGTCCACCATGCAGTTAACTTCTCAGAATCTAAGGCAAGTGCACACTGCTTTTGAGTGTGTTGAGCAACATGAAAATATAAACTCAAACAAATGAAAACCTTATTACAGCTATTTCGTCATGTAAAAAAGCAGGATGTTGGACTAGATAAGGCCTTTTGCAATTCTAAAATTCTAGGACTCTGTGTATTCTAAAACCTATTTTACCTTTTAGACTAGGAAATCTACAGAGCTAAAGAGGGACAGTAACTATTAGAAAATGATTCAATGGATTACAACCGTTCTTAAAATACAAAGTCAAAGAAAAGCAAAAAACAAAACAAAATAAAAAAGCTCTATATTATTTCTCACTTGTGAAAACAATGACTGATTCTGACCCAAGTCGGACGATGATGGAAAAATACATCCCACTGTAAAAACTCAAGAAAGAGGCCATATTTGGTGTCTGAACTTTTCAGTTAATGAAAGTCCTCGCTTAAATTACACTGCATTTCAAAGGAGTTTGCTTGTTAAATAACTTCATCTCCACAAAGTGCACTGCTGTGGAAGTTGAAAGATGAGGCACAAATGAAATTACTTTGTCAAGATCATAAAATAATTCTAACAAACTCCAAAACAGAACCTTTGATCTGAAATCCAGTTTTATGTTCCGATCTCTTGATAATAGCCCAGCTTTGTAAATTCTTAACTGTGTTCTCCTCTTTTCATATTTGTTCACTACAATTAAAGTTCAGTGAAATGTACCCATTACTTCTTAAGAGAATTCGTAAAACGCCTCTGCTATACTGCTCAAGAGTTCTACTAAAAAACAAAAAACTGAACAACCAGGTCTACTGGAGAAACATCTCATCATCAAATTATTCCCCAAATGAGGTGACACTATGACTAACTTCTAAAAAACAAAGTTCTCTTAAGTTTTCACCCCTCTTTTCAAGAGGGTATATATCATATGAACTGTTCTACAAAGAAAATTTGAAAAAAAGGAGGGGGCTGGAGGGGGCAGGGAAGTCAACATTCAGGAAAGGTGAACAATGGTCAATATTCTAACCATAATGAAGCAGAATGAATAGATCTCATTTTTGAACAATCATTTATTAAGCACTGAAAGTAAGACCAAAAATATAGAACTAAAATGTGGAAAAAAAAATAGATATTAGATGGCTATTCACTTGCACCCCTAACCTGTTGTTTCATCAACATCATTCAGTTTCTGTGGCTTATACCAAGTTGTTAATAGGGACAGATTTTGGTTAAAACTCCCAATTCAGGAGGTCCAAGGACAGTAACCTAACCTGTACTTTAAAAAGAGAAAAAACAAAAAAACAACTCCTTTTCTTCAAGTAAAAGAAGAAAAACGTACATATGTCAGATCTATATCCTGGGATGATTTGGAAGATTAAGTGTAATAAGCCGCACAGCTCACAGACAAGCACAAGCAAACAGGTGTGGTGCAGTGGTAATTTTCTTCCTTTCATGGCAGCACTTTTACCTTTCCAGTAGTAACTTTTTGATCATCGGTTTGCTTTTTCTTCACAAAGTTAAGACAGGGCACGGTGGTACATTTCCTTTCCTCCTTCCTCCTTCTGAGTCTGGCACACTCATAGAGAAGCATTATTGGCATCTAGACACATTATCAGTGATGTGCCTCCTTTATGTCCATGAAAACAGTACCTGTTATGGTTCGAGTTATGTCCCCCAAAATACAAGTTCAAGGCCTAACCCCACAGACCTCAGAATGTGACCTTATGTAGAGACAGGGCTGTTTCAGATACAATTAGTTAAGTTAAAATGAGTTCATATCAGACTATAGTGGGCCCTTGATCTAATATGATTAGTGTCCTTATAAGAAGAAGAGACACAGACACACACATATAAAGGGAGCATACCATATGATGATGGAGGGAGAGACCAGCTATAAGCCAAGGAACTCCTAGGATTGCTGGCAAACCACAAGGAAGAGGTAAGTTAAGATTCTCCTGCACAGGTTTCAGAGGGTGCATGGCCTTGTGATATCTTGATTTTGGAATTCTGACTTCTGGAACTACCAAACGATGAATTTCTGTTTTAAGCCACTCAGTTTGTAGTACCTGGTAACAGCTGCCTTAGGAAACTAAAACATCCTATCACAAACATCATAGAAGTACATTACATGTGTTCAATGTGTATAAACTTCTTGACCTACAAAGTGTTTTGGCAACTATTATCCTGTTTGAGCCTCATGAAAATTCAGGGGAACATTATTGTCCCACTGTAGAAACTGAGAAAGAAGTTATAAAAGAAGGTCTCTTCCTATGCTTTTACTTGAAGGACTTCTTTTGGAAACTGATATCACTTTCCTTCCTTGGGTTGCTAGTTGGCTAAAGCTGAATTTGTCGCCCATCCTTGGCTAATGACTACATGATATGCATTGCTGTGTACTAATCTTCCACTTATTACTATCATTTTCCACTTATCAGGATTTTAAATTTTCTTTAGCAACTTTATTGGAATATAATTCACATTCCATGAAATGTATTTTTGCCCTTTTAAAGTGTAAAATTCAATGGTTTTTAATATATTCAGGGTTGTGCAACCATTATCACAATCTAACTTTAGAACATTTTCATCACCCCCAGAAGAAATTATTGGTTACTCTCAATTCCATGATTCAAAACTTTATAGCATAAAAATGAAGTCTTGCAAGTAATAAATAATAAACAAATAGTCATTGAGTTCTCATCATGTACTAGACAGTATTCTAAGACTTTATATATACCAAATCATTTGGTTGTCAAAATTCTATAAGTACTATGTTTTTCTTCATAAAAAGGGAATCTTTCCTAAAGAGGTTAAATAATTTGGCCAAGGTTACCCAGATCATAGGTGGTGACCCTAGTATTTAAATCTAGACAATTACACAACATGTGCCATTCATTTAAGGCTGAAAATGAATTTAAACAAAGGAAAAATTTATTAAACAGGAACCATAAGGGACTGATAAATTATAGCAGAGGAGTTAGGTGACAAAGATTTTCTCTATGGCTTGATATGCTTGCTATGTGGATCCTTTCAAACTCCATCTTCCTGTAACATTCCAACACACTCTGTGCCTGTTGCTAATATACTAATTTTTCCCACTGTGATTATGTTTTATGATTTAATATATCTTATGAATTATGATCTAAACTGAATTAGATAGTCATATCAAACTAGAGAAACTATAAAATGAACCCCCAAGTACTTGTGACACATCTTAAATAATTACCAACACGTGGACAATTCTGTTTCATGGATACAGAAAAAACAAATATACGGGATTATTTCAGAGCAAATCCTGATGTACTATTGACAGCAATCTTTTTCTCTCTCTAAACATAAATAATTTCTCCAAAACTACTGAATAGTCTCTAAGCAATATATACTTGGAAACACAAAAACATCTTAGGCACCACATTACAGCAGGAATTAAATTTAAACTAGAAAGATGTTTTATAAGTTTTAAACAACTAAGTAGGGGTTTTATACATATCATGCTGAATGTCCTGAGAGGTCAATAAACATGAAAGTAGAAACATTTAACTATCAACATTTACCTGTTTATCTTCCAGCAGGTCAGGCTCCCCTTTACTAGAACCAGAGCTGACATCATCTTCATCAGAACTGTTGATGACTTCCTCCTCATCTGAAGGAAGGTCACCAAGACCAAGGTCCAGGTCATTGGGTCCCTCCTGGGATGCTCCAGTACTGCTTCAATAGAAAGTATCACATTAGTCACCTTTGGAAACAAGGAATGCTACCAAAAACAAACAAAATCAATCATCTTACTCACATGATGTAAACAAGGCACATCTAAGGGATTCAGAAGGATAGAAAGATATCAGCCAAACTCGCCTTTCCCACCTCAGCTGTCAAAAACCCAAGTTCATTTTGGGTTTAAAATTGACCATCTTGAAAAACATGTATTTTTGTGACAGGAGGGTAAGTAAGTTTCCCGCTGTCCCCATCCTATGCTTCAATATACCCTTATTCTAGATGGTCAGGTCTCTACTAGCACAAATCTTCTAGCCTCCTAGAAGGTGGGCTGGGATATCTACCACATTAATGTTCTGACATTACAAGAGGTGCTGCTTCCTTGGGCCTCAGTGGTTTGTTTTTTGTTTTTAAAAAGCAACTCACAAATCTACAAGGATTGAAAGCTAATGATGGTGATCACAATCCACAATTCAAGTGCTACACCGGACATGTGCCCACCTCCCTGGTTATCACCAACTGCCTCTCATGTAATCACATCACAAGACATAGGAAGGAATGAGGAATGGAGAGTCAGCTCCAGACCTGCTGAAGCAGAAACTCTAGAGGTTCAGGGCCCCTAGGGGAAACATGTTAAAGTCTGAGAACCACCGTACCAGACCGTTTACCAACTCCTCCTCGGCAGACTGACATTATCAACATTTCTCACTCTGTACTGAGACAGATCTCTTGAATCTAAAAGCCATTGTTGCAGCCAATCTGTTGGGGGAATTCCATAGGAAAAGTTCCCAAGTAAAGCAAAAGAAATAATTCTTTCTAGCTTTAGTTGTAAAGACTCAGGAACAAACTGCCTACAGCAACTGCTTTCCTTTCTGCAGTCTTTAAGAATATCTGCAGAATAGAAGAGTCAGTAAAAGAGCCACAGAAAATCATCAGGGGAAACACTCAGGCAGAATAAAGACAGTCCCATTTCACTCTGGCAGGCCCCTTTCCCAGGTCATGGGCAGGTCACTCAACTGTGATGACTCCTACAAGTAATAAGAATTTCTAACAGGAATCTTAAAAGCTAAAGATAAATTTTCTGCCAGTTCCTGATTATATACTGTAGGATTCAGACTTGACTCAGAAGCCATTCCTGAAGCCCAACTGTTACACAAACCAGTTAGATGAAGGCAGAATGCCAAAAGGAACATTTCCTTCTGCCAAAGACTGGATTTCCTATTACTCAGTGGCTGGGGGCCTGAGGGAATCATATCACAGTCTCAATTAGGTGGGTGCATACCTTATCATAGCGCCCCATGACTTGAAGAAGACTCACCCCTGGGGTGGGGTGGGGGGTGGAGAGCGGAAGCTTTCTACTCAGATCACTGGCAGGATTCACTTGTCTCTGGGTCCAGGGATGTGAGCCCAACCCCACTGGGTAGCTAGTTGATCTAGATGAGTGAGAGTCATTGCCAGCTAGGATATACAGACTGCAGGATCCAGCCACATAAATAGAATACACCTTCAATTGTTTTTATTTTAATTGTCTATCTCTTTACCTTCTCTGAAACTCTGTTACTCAAAACATAATCAACCTGTAAGCAGCTTCAGCATCACCAGGAAGCTTTTGAGAAAAACAAAACCTCAGTCCCTGCCCCACCTCACTGAATCAGAATTTTATTTTTTGGATCAGCTCACTGGTGCACTCTTTTGGACTCAATGGTATAAAAATTTCGAATGATCAGTGAGCTGTGGCACCTGTGAGGAAATTAGGTTTATTTTGCTGAGACTTGTTTCTTGGGTTCAACATTCAGACAGCTATTATCAAGAAGACAGTAACCGGTTGGCTGCCACATCCATTTAGAAATATAAATGCTTACCAAAGTTTACATTTAAAAACAAGGGGGAAAAGCTTTAAATATTAAAACTACATGCATCAAAACATACTGCCATAAAATACTTGGAGATTTTAATTCTGAAAATTGCTTACCTGCAGAAAAACCTTCCCTGACCGCCCTCTCTCTACCCCAAATTAGTTTGCTTGGCTCTTCTGAATCTTTATGATCTTACTTGGTGGTATGTTTGTTTCTCTCACTAAAATGTAAATTCCTAAGGACAAGGAAATTGTCTTTTCCAGTTGAATCCCCAGCATACTGTCTGATATATAATAGGCTTTCAATAATTTTTACTGAATGAGTAGAAATGTTAGAAAGCAATGGGTATTAAATTTCAGAAGTTCAGACAGTATATGCTGATAGTCTTCTGCAAAGAAAAGTTTGAAGGGAATGCTGGAAAGACTGTGCGGTTTAAAGGAGAAGGGACATCTGGGCATCATAATCAATGGTGTGGAAGCAGAAATACTGGTGTTCAGAAAAACAAACAAACAAAAAACATTTTGACTGCAGCAGATGTCTCCTATAAATAATGGAAAATAAGTTTGGAGAAGATGAAAACAGATGCTAGGCTGTCAAGGAGCATGAACAACAGCTAAAGAGTTTACATTCATCCTGCAGACCTTCAACAAGGAGACATAAATCTTCCAGTAGACTTCAAAGATTTTCTTAGTAGACCTCCTGTCACTACCATGCTTCTTTCTTGTCAGTGCCAATAGGGAAGAGAATGAATGGCACCTCTTCTGTCAATCAAACTAAGCTCCTGCCCCGACCTCCCTGCTCTGGCCCCAGCCAGAGAAAAGCTTCTCAGGATCAGTGAGAGCACCTTGGTCAAAGCTTAAACTAAAGCTAAAGGAGTTCCCCACACTCTTGGATGGCAAACAGTAGAGACCAATTATGATTTCTGAAGCTTAGGAGGGAGGAAAATGAGTAGGGCAAAAATGGGATTTTAGGAATATTCATCTTTTTTTTTAATTGAAGTACAGTCAATTACAATGTGTCTATCTCTGGTGTACAATGCAATATCCCAGTCATGCATATACATACATATATTTGTTTTCATTTTTTTCCATTAAAAGGAGTATTCATAGTATTCATCTTATAATCCAAAACCAATGAACCAAGGATGAAATGGAGGTAGAATAGTGGCAGAAGTAGAAGATCTAGGAGGTAATTTCAATCTTGCAGGCAACCTGAACCAGGGTGGCTATATCATGAATTGGGAGGAAAAGGGCTGGATATGAGAGAAAAAAATCATCAGGGCCAGGGTAGAGAGGTGGGGGAAAACCAAGTCCCTGAAGGTTTCATGAACAGTCAACAGCAGAATCAGGATAACATCAATCAAAACAGAAATATGTCAACAAAGGATCTAATTTTAAAGGAAAGACAATGGGTTTAGCACCAAAATCAGGAAAGACAGCACCTAGGATCTTCATACGTGTTCATTTCTACATGACTGAATAGAGAAAAACTGTTGATTAATCTATTTTCCCATAAGACCGTGAACAGCTTTCAAAGCTATATAGGTAATTATAGATTTCTGATAAGTGAAACAAGGATTCCTCACTTACGTCAGTCATGGAGTTTGGGCTCCTCCATTTCTTTTATTTCCTTCCCACTGCCAGAAAGATAACATTCTAACACAGCTTGCTTTTCGGGTTAAAGAAACAAGACATAGTGTTTCCTCCACACTTTCCTGCCTCGTTATTTCATAATTGGATCACTGAAGTAAAAGGAAAGTAAGCTCCAACAACAACCAGAAAGAGTCAAAACTGGGCTCTGCTTCCCCAGGCCATCCTTTCCAAGTCAGATTTCCTTCTGGCAAGGAAGGGGCCTTGTTACTAGAAAAAAAAATTTTTTCAAGTTCACTGGAATAAAGTCAGAGACAAGTAAAGCCAGAAGTAAATTTCTACTGATTAGGCAACTGTTCCTTCAATCCTACGTGCCAAGGATCCTTGCATTGGAGTGATTATTTAACACCACCATTTCTAAAAACAATTACTTGTCTGTGTTCTTTTCTATACATAAACAGTACATCTTACATTGGAAGTAAAGCAAATTTCTCTCTCAGGTAAGATGTCACATTGAGGATGATCTCTTTTTAAGAAGGAACTGTCTTTGAAAAAAAATACCTAATTTAATTCATTTTCTCAAAGCATTTTTCAGGAACATAAAACATGCACAAAGTGAAGTCAGGCATAACAGTTGCCAGGGTTTACCACTGAAGCATCCTTGTGAACCTCTATTAAATTAAAGATGCCAGCAAGGGGAGGGGAGAAGGAAAAGAATGGAGGAGAGAGGTGAAGGAGGAGCAGAGCTAACTGAAGAATGCTTTCAAAGCACTGAATCCTGTCCTCGGTTGTTGACAAATCCAGTTACTTTTCCTCTCTCGCCTGTGATTTTACTCTGGGTCCCATGTAATCCCTCCCAAATGTGAAGAAAGAAGTTCGTCCCAGTATTTTCACCTTCAAAGCTTCTTTCTCATTTTCGAGTCACAAAATGTATAACTGATCTTCTGTCATCTTTCATTTCTACCCCTAGACCAAACTGAACAAAAACCGGCTAGTCCTCAGGATGTTGTTAGAATTCTTTTGCAAATGCTGTCTCACTATGACTTGGTGGGTATGTGTTTCCTTTGGCTACTTTCATATTTATCACAGAATGAGTTTTTCTTTGGGAAAAACTACCAATGAAAATTTGGAGGATAAACATTACATGGAAAAATTAGCAAAAATATTTTTCAAATAAGTTATGTTTTATAATATGTCAAGGATATAAAGCAGGTTTACAATTTTCACTGGAAAATTATTTCTATCTAGTTTCATCAGAAAACTTTTTACTCTTTTACTTCAGTTCCCTCGTGGAATTGCAGATTCCAGCATCAGGCTGAAAACCATGAATCAAATCAATAGAAAACAATTTAAAAACCATTCCTATTCTCATTTTCAGGTCCTCTTCTCAATTATGCAGTACATGTGTAATTTTCTCTACCCTCCACTCAAGTGATTTTCCCGGCTACTACCCCTAAAATAAGTTAGTTTAAAAAAAAAAAAGTTTTCTCTCTACTTCTTTCAGGAAACATGGCACAAATTGGGAAACAGTCCTACACAGGCATTTTCATCC